ATTAACAAATTGAGCCATATATATGGTCCCTCAAACCTAATGAAATTTGATCAAAAGTTGAAAAATGTCAAATTTACTAATTTTTTTTTATGTTTTTGAACATTACAGCTGGGGTAGCCCGCTGTTCAATCCAAATATAATTTTTGTTTTTTTTGTTCTCTAAGTTTCACCAGTTTTTTTTTTAGATGAAATTAAAAGTTGTCAAGAAGAATTGAGCCATATATTATGCTCTGCTTGCTTTTGTCTAAAGTTGTCTTAGTCAGTGTAGTGATATGGTATATGGGTCTCGAGAAGTAATTGCTTGAATACTGTTCTCTGACGGTATTTCAAGCAATAGTGTCTTCTGCTAAGAGACTTATGAAGAGAGGGTTTACCTTATATTATTGGTGAACTCTGTTAGTGATTGGCCACTAGAGAAAAGAAGAGAGCATATATATGGTCGTTTGAGCATATATATGAAAATCGAAAAATGAGAAATATTAAGAATGGACTAAATGTATGTGTTGATGATGTTGATGACTTATAGATGCTCAATTTATTGAGTATTTTAAGTTGTTGAAATAATATATAGACTTGGGGTTTCGTTCAAGTTATATATGTTCTTCACACAATATGTGTGTGTGTTCATGTGTTAACATAATTCTGGTTGATCCTGCCAGTAGTTATATGCTTGTCTCAAAGATTAAGCCATGCATGTCTAAGTACAAACTGTTATTATAGTGAAACCGCAAAAGGCTCAGTACAACAGCTATCATTTATTTGATCAATTAAAACAGTTACTTGGATAACTGTGGTAATTCCAGAGCTAATACATGCAAACAACAAGAATCATTCGCAGCAATGTGGATTGAGACTTGTGCTCTTATTAGACTTTAAAACCAATATCCTCACTTCGGTGTGGGTTTGTTTTAGATGAATCTGGATAATTATGGCTGATCGCATGGTCTCTGCACCGGCGATAGATCATTCAAATGTCTGCCCTATCAACTATTGATGGTAGTATAGTGGACTACCATGGTTGCAACGGGTAACGGGGAATCAGGGTTCGATTCCGGAGAGGGAGCCTGAGAAACGGCTACCACATCTAAGGAAGGCAGCAGGCGCGTAAATTACCCAATCCCGGCACGGGGAGGTAGTGACGAAAAATAACAATACAGGACTCACATCCGAGGCCCTGTAATTGGAATGAGTACACGTTAAATCTTTTAACAAGTAACAATTGGAGGGCAAGTCTGGTGCCAGCAGCCGCGGTAATTCCAGCTCCAATAGCGTATATTAAAGTTGTTGCGGTTAAAACGTTCGTAGTTGAATTTGTGTCCCACACGGGTAATGCACCCAAGTGCGGGTTTTGCATTACTTGTTGCATGTGTGCGTTCACTGTCAAAGGTGGCGTATGTATGTGACTTTAAGTGTGACGGATGTTTTACCGGTGAGGGAAACGGCCTTCTAATGTATATGTGTTCTGCACTATATTATTGTTGGTACGCCCCTTATGTGTAACCCACTTTGGTGCTCTTCACCGAGTGCCACTGTGGGCCGGTACAGTTACTTTGAACAAATTAGAGTGCTCAAAGCAGGCTAAATTTAATGAAAGTTAAAACGCCTGAATATATTTTGCATGGAATAATGGAATAGGACCTCTGTTCTATTTTCAATTGGTTTTATAGAGATCCAAGAGGTAATGATTAATAGAAGCAGTTGGGGGCATTAGTATTACGAGGCGAGAGGTGAAATTCGTAGACCCTCGTAAGACTGACTTAAGCGAAAGCATTTGCCAAGGATGTTTTCATTAATCAAGAACGAAAGTTAGAGGATCGAAGGCGATCAGATACCGCCCTAGTTCTAACCATAAACGATGCCAGCTAGCAATTGGATGTAGCTACTTATACCAGGCTCATTCAGTCGCTTTCCGGGAAACCAAAGCTTTTGGGCTCCGGGGGAAGTATGGTTGCAAAGCTGAAACTTAAAGGAATTGACGGAAGGGCACCACCAGGAGTGGAGCCTGCGGCTTAATTTGACTCAACACGGGAAAACTTACCAGGTCCGAACATAAATGAGTAAGACAGATTGATAGCTCTTTCTCGAATCTATGGGTGGTGGTGCATGGCCGTTCTTAGTTCGTGGAGTGATTTGTCTGGTTAATTCCGATAACGAACGAGACTCAAACGCCTTTAAATAGATGCTTGCAGGACTATGGCGCTGAAATCATGTATATTCCATTTATTGGATTGGTTTCGGCCTTTCTGATTTGTGGCTTTATGCATGATGGAGCTATACCTGTTTGGTTTGTCTTAAGAGGACACTTTGCTTCTTAAATGGACAAAATGCGTCTAGCATTAATGAGATTGAGCAATAACAGGTCTGTGATGCCCTTAGATGTCCTGGGCTGCACGCGCGCTACAATGAAGGTATCAATGTGTTTTATCCTTGACCGAGAGGTATGGGTAAACATTGAACCACCTTCGTGGTTGGGATTGTGGACTGTAACTGTTCACATGAACCCGGAATTCCCAGTAAGTGTGAGTCATAAGCTTGCATTGATTACGTCCCTGCCCTTTGTACACACCGCCCGTCGCTACTACTGATGAATTGTTTAGTGAGGTCTCTGGACGTGTGCTACTAATTGCCCTCTATGGGTGATTTGGTACGCTACACCGAAGTTGACCGAACTTGATTATTTAGAGGAAGTAAAAGTCGTAACAAGGTTTCCGTAGGTGAACCTGCGGAAGGATCATTGATAAAACTGTGAGTATATTTATATACTTAGAGAGTGTGGAGAGTAATGTGGTGGTGGTGGTGGGGTATATGTGCCATACTTGGTACATATACCCCTATTTTTTTTTGACAAATGTCACACAACATAGAAGCCGGTTAAGATGAATACATATATACATTCCAATTTGTGTGTATATATTATTCCTTAAATCTGTTAATATTCAGATGCCATTCACATATATACATGATAATGATGTAGTGAATGACCGTAATGTTGACATATGTCCATGCTTTGTGTGGTTGCAGCATGAGAAACCCCACACATAATTGATTTGATATTGAGCGGTGTATGTATAGGAAAATGTGCATATACCTATGCCATATCAATGATATATATTGATATTTATACATTCAAATGTATGTAGAATATATGATGTTAAATTAACCCTATACGGGGGATCACTTGGCTCGTGGGTCGATGAAGAACGCAGCTAACTGTGTGAAATCGTGTGAACTGCAGGACACATGAACATCGACATTTTGAACGCACATTGCGGTCCATGCAAATGTTTAACTTGTTAAACT